GTCAAGGTCCCTCTGGGTGTCAGCGTGGCCCCCATCGTATCAGCCACTCCTCCCAGTTGGTATCATCAGCAAATGTGCTGAGGGTACACTCTGCCCCATCATCCAGGTCATTAATGAAAATGTTAAATAGGACTGGACGAAATATTGACCCCTGGGGTACACCGCTAGTTACTGACCTCCAACTAGACTTCTTGTCACTGATCACCTCCCTCTGAGCTCAGCCATTCAGCCAGTTTTCAGTCCACCTCCCTGTCTGCTCACCCAGCCCATATATCGACAGTTTCTCTGTGAGGATCTTATGGAAGACAGTGTCAAAGGCATTACTGAAGTCCAGGTAGACAATGTGTGCTCTCTCCCCTTGTCTGCTAGGCCAGTTGTTTCATCAGAGAGGTTTATCAAGTTGGTCAAGCATGACTTGCCCTTGGTGAATCCATGTTGACTAATCCCGGTGACTTTCTTGTGTTTCTTGTGCTTGGAAACGGTTTCCAATGGTCCATCAAAAAAAAAAAAATTCTGCTCTTCAGAAAACTTCGAGCAGGCTGGTCTCTTTTGATATGTGGAGCTCTTGGAACGGATCCAGAAGAGGGCCACAGAGATGATCAGAGGGCTGGAGCACCTCTCCTATGAGGAAAGGTTGAGGGAACTGGGCTTGTTTAGCTTGGAGAAGGCTCCAGGGAGACCTCATTGCGGCCTTCCAGTACTTGAAGGGAGCCTATAAACAGGAGGGAGAGTGACTATTTACAGGGGTTAATAATGAGAGGATGAGGGGGAATGGTTTTAAACTGAGAGGGGAGATTTAGGTTGGATATTAGGAGGAAATTTTTCACTCAGAGTGTGGTGAGGCAGTGGAACAGGTTGCCCAGAGAAGCTGTGGACGCCCCATCCCTGGAGGTGTTCAAGGCCAGGCTGGATGGGGCCCTGGGCAGCCTGCTCTAGTGGTTGGGAACCCTGCCCACAGCAGAGGGGTTGAAACTAGATGATCTTTAAGGTCCTTTTCAACCCAGGCCATTCTGTGATTCCATTATATCACACTTCTTTTGGTTTTTCTTGCTTCCTGTGTAAATGTGGCTTAGTTTAATGAGGTGTTTTCAAGAGTGCTGCTCTTGACTTTCTTACCATTTTCATATTCTCTTTTCCTGCAGCTGAACTCGCTGGTACAAGTTACATGTTTTAATTTCCTGCAACTGTGAAAATCTGATGGTTTGCTATGACTGTGAGCTGTTGGTGGAGTTAAATTTTGATTTACTGAAGTACGTGTTTGTAGTATTGTTTCATATGTGTTCTCTCTGGAAATATCTCCTACAACCATCTCTCTTCTCCCAGTTGGCAGGGAGGAAGTAGCAGGGAAACCCTGGATGATATTGGATGTCTGGGGGGAGGAGGATGTGAAGGTACTAGATGGGCTTTGCACATGGTCAGCATAGCCTTGGCAGGGCTGATTGAAATGAGATCTGCAGAAAGCCCTGCAGAGAGCCCTCATGCAACCTCCATATGAAACCACTTCAGCGTGTCTGTATTACTCCCCTGGTTCTGAGATAGTGTTGTAGGTGGGCTGTGTGCTGCACCTGGATTAATAAAACTTTCTGGAACCTAAACCAAGGTATGGTAACTTTGAGTGGCTCTGTAGAAACCAGTGTGGGAGAAGCAGGATTGGGGCAGAGCCAGAACTAATAAATGCTGCCCATCTGAATTGGCTTTGAGGAGATCTAACTCTAGGTTACTACTCAGATCAAGGCTGAATTGGGATTAAAAATCATGTGTAACTTTGTCTTTTTTCCATGTAATTTTTTAGCTATACAAAAAGAGCATCATTACCTTCTATTTCATCCTTAATTTATTTTGAAATAAATGTTGTAATTTAAAAAAATAAGGAGAATCACGTTTCCCAGCTTGGAGGGTTGTATGTGGAGAAATCCTGCTTCACATTATAGTAAACTTCTATTGAGACAGTACTTTTATTGTGACCTTTTCATTTATGGTCACTCCTTAGTTAAAGAAGCATTTGTTTGAATTCCAAATGGGAAACCCTGCTTAGGATTCATAGCAGTATGTAGGATGATGGTGTAAGATTTTAAGTGATGCGACAAGAAACAGTCCTAAACTATTACAGAGGTTGTTATGACTTGCTCCTAAAAGGTGTTATTTTTCCTTTTAATAAAAGGATGATTTTAACAGGTCTTGTGACTACATAGGCATGGCAAGCTTCAGAGCAGAATCAGGAGAAACGGACTGAAGCATGTAATGGTGGGTTTAAGTTTTTACAGTAACAATCTGAGCAGAAGGTGATCACAGGGTGATACTATAAAAGTTTGGAGATATCTGAGATTTACCTACTACAGCTTTCCAAAAAGTGATACTGTTGAAGGAGCTGTGGTTCTTAGGAATTACCAATTTAAAAATCTCAGCATATTCAGCACATATACTGTAATACTGGGGGCTCTGGGTGTAAAGCAGTGACCTTCATAACTCCATCTTTCTGTGTCTTATTGCATTGAAATTAACTCATCTCTTCTGCTTTCTTTTAGAGACTTGCTTCCAGTCTTCTTATCTAACTTGATCTAAAGTGATTTATATCATGCTTATTTTTGTTCTTTTGGTGTAAAGGAAAGGAAAGAAGGAAAATGTGTGTATTGCAGCACGTAGAGTGTGAATATAAGTTTTGCTATGCATCTTGGAGAAGTTGTGTCAGTATGGTAGAGGCAAAATCTGCTTTATTTTCTGTGTTCTGGTATAATTAAAACCAGAATGGAATACATTGACTTTAGCTTCTTGCATTTATAGTGGGAAAATAAGCAAAATTCTGTAACTGAGCATACCCTTGTTTTTGACAGATGTTGCTACGGCAGTTGCAAAATGCTGATAAAGGAAATATAAAGGATATTAGAAAAATAAAACAAAATGCAGTGACATATTCCAGAAGGAGTGCTGTGGCTTAGAGAAGTAACGCCACCCTGCTGTGCATCGCAGTGCAGTGAAGCTGGACAGTGAGTTGTAGCTGCAGTTGTAAGCAGCGTATTGGCAAATGCAGTATCCTCAGTGGACTTAATTTTTAGGTCTTTTCTTTTGTGTGTGGGAATGGGTAGGAAGGAAGGATAGGTAAGTGGATAGGGACTAGCTGATTCTTTCACAGCTGGTCTCTAACTAAGCCTTTTGATCATAGGCCATAAAATAACATGGTTCTCATCTTTGGTGCTCAGCTATTGTAGCCTAGCTGATGCGTACATTTCAGTGACTAGTTACCATTCCTTTAAGAAGCAAAAATACATGAGCAAGAAAGAACATAGAAGGGAGGGACTAAGATTCTCTGTAGTTAAACAGTCTTTACTCTGAGACCCCAGAAAATGGTATAAATAACTTAAAACCTGGACTTTGTATGCGAAATAAGGGAGCAAGAACATTTTTGTCTTTTGGGGTGCACACACAAGCAGGTTCCAGTTCTGATTTTGCTGTAATCTCCAAAGAGTTGTGTGGCCCTGAGCAGCTTATGGAAGGTATAAGTTTGCAAAGCATTTGTTTGCTTGATATGCTTGTAGTTTGTTTACTTTTTAGGATCCGAGTCTCAAGAAGTTTGAGCCCAAGTATGGGCTGCATTCATCTCTGAACTACTTTTATAATTGCTTTTTGTTCTTTCTCAGTTAATGTGTGTGCATGTAGATGCATGGGTCTTCCTCCTCATGTGTCTTCTGTGCTGTTGTGTCTTAAACATATTAGGTTTTTGATGTTAGGCTCAGGAAACTTAGCCATGTTTGAACTCCACATCAAATACTAAAATCTCCACGTGGCTCAAAGCTGTAAGATACTTTCTACATGGTTCAGAGAGTCCCCGGAGCTTGAGGTGTGATTCATGCGTGGGAGGTGATCGTGTCTCCTTGGCGTTTCTATTGCTCCAGTGAAAGCCAAGACTGCAGAGTCATCAGTGCTGCCCTAGCTGAGGATTTGGCTTATACCACTGCCAAAGCCAGCTCCGTATTCTGATTAGTCACATGGTGCAGCCTTGGCATGGGAATGGCATTTGAGTTCCAGTGGCCTCTCATAGATCAAAAGCCACAGCCTGGCCACCCATGGTGTTGCCATGGTCTGTTTGAGCTACATGTTCGCCACATCTCTGGAAATAATAGTCAACTTCTGCTGAATTTGGTATCCAAACTGGAGTATAAGAAAAATTGAATTACTATGAAGCACTGTGCAATAAGTAGTCTGTGACTTCATTTCACTGGTTGGAAAAAAAAGCCACACATCCTAAATAAGGGCCTTGAGACTTATCTGGTATATTTTTGTCTCATCCTGTGACTTGGAGGTGAAGTCTGTAGTTTATGTAGCTCAAGTAACTGGTTCGGGATTCTTTTATTTCCTTAGGTACAACATTGATCCTGGCTTGTACTGTCCATTTTTCTCTCTTGGGGCATGCATGGAAGGTTTGAACTCTTTGTTCAGTCAGCTCCTAGGAATCTCCCTTTATGTTGAGCAGACACAGAGAGGAGAGGTTTGGTCTGAAGATGTTCGAAAGTTGGTAAGTATTCTTGTTCCCAGCATCTGAAGTGCCGAAGGGAAGTTAGACAAGATGGTATGTTCCTCTGAGCTGTGAATCAGGTTTTGTTTTTAAAATCACTTGGGTACCTATCAAAAGGTTGAAGTTAGACCTCAAGGGCTTTATACTCTTTAAGTGCCTTTTGTATGCTTGGTATTTTGTGGCCTTTATAATATGTCTCTGTGTGAAGGGTGCCTGAATCAGAAGCAGTTCATGTGTTTAGAGATTATTGTTGTGCCTTTCAAGCCATCCTTCTGAATGAGCCCTGATAGTTTTTTTAGTTTCAATTTGTAGATGACTGTAGATGTCTGGAATGCTGTAAGTGCATATTGTGGCAGTTGTGTCTTTGCCTCATTTTTAAATCTGTATGTCATCTTTACTTTGAGATTGGTTTTTTTGTCTTTATTTTTCTGCCCTCTTTTTAGGGAGGGTGGAAAGAAAAACTTGGGCAATAATTTACTCATCAGGTTCCCAGGTTCCTGTGTTGTCTTCCCTCCATGTATTCACTGTGAGGTCTTCACTACTCTCCCACCTCCAGCAAAAACGGCTGTTCTTTATATCCTGTGGTTCAATTTGTAATTACTCCTTACTCTTTTTGTTTTTATTTCCATGGTAAATCAGCTTCTGTTGCTGTTCTTCTCAGAAGTCATTTAGGGGCTAGAGACAGTGTTGTTTTTAATACTAATCTGTAACTAGTTTTGAGTGAAATGCAGAAATGGCTGTAGTTTGAGGGACAAGCTGTGAATGGTGTATATTTTTTTTTTCCAACTGAAGTTGCCAACAGATTTGACATTAATTATTCCCAGTTTATTTGTCATTTAGTCATTATAAATCTTTGGATGAGAATACTAATGTCTTCAGTTTATGCATCTTATCAGTGCTTTCACTGTGGAAATTATACTGTTTTTTTCTTCAGGCTGTTGTTCATGAAACTGAAGGTTTGCTAGGATACATCTATTGTGACTTCTTTCAGCGACATGATAAACCACACCAGGTAGCATTTATGATCTGATTTATTTGAATAATGACTGTAGCGTTAGGGCCATTTGTGTTCAATGTAAGTATGGTAAAAGTTACCTTGATTTAAAATAAATTACATTTGAACAAGGAAAGTCTGTAACTTCAGATGTGTTTTTAGGTAAAATATTTTTGTGAGTAACCTTTCATTTAAAAAATGTCACCTGGTAGGTTGAATTCAGGGTTTTTGTTCTACAGAATGACAGGCACTATGAAATGGTGTAGAACTCTGTTTAGAGAAATGGTAGATTTTTGAACACCTGTTTTCTGGCCTACTCTTGCAAGTAAAAACAATCTGAAATCTTACACTCTCCAAAGGTGAAGGCTCATAATGACAACTAATTTTTATTCAAAATTCTACTTAAAACTATAGATGGTTCCGACTGTTGTGGCTCACTTACTCATGCTGTACATGCACACTCACGTGCCAGTATATTAACTATACGATGCAGTACAATAGACACTTTGTAAAGTCATCTGCAAATTACCACCTTTAGTGACGTGGTAAGTGGACAAACTTTAAATCTACATTAGTTGAATATATTACTCTGTTCTTCTAATGTTTCACAATGTCCTAGGAGTGCTGCGCAGTATATTTTATAAAGAAGTTACCGCTGAAGAATGAGGAGAGACCTTAATCTATAAATTATAGATTTGGCACATCAGTAAATTTCTTTGAGCTAGTGATATTTTTTAGAAAAAATTACAGGTTTTGATAATTCTAAAACAAACAAACAAAGTTATTTCTTAAAAGCAACACAGTCTTTTCTTTATGGAGTAAGGTAGTTTAGTTATGAATATGAAGCAAATAATGAAGATGGAGAAACAGCGTGCTGCTATTGAACAACAGAGTTAATGATCATTAAATTCAGCTCGTGTAACTGAGCATATGTTTAGGTTTGATTTAATAGTTTAATTTAATAATTTCATAATTGTTTTAATATCATTGATATAATGACATCAGCGGTCCATATGTTTGCTTTTATCTTGAAAAGGATTGTCACTTTACTGTTCGTGGAGGGAGGCTAAGGGAAAATGGAGAGTACCAGCTGCCTGTAGTTGTTCTTATGCTTAGCCTGCCCCATTCAACAAGGGGTGCACCAACGCTACTAAGTCCTGGCATGATGGAGAATCTCTTCCATGAAATGGGACATGCTATGCATTCTATGCTGGGAAGAACTCGGTACCAACATGTTACTGGTAAGAAAGTTAGCACAGTGATTTTTTTGTTTTTGTTAAATGTTTAATTTCTAGAAGAAGGGAGTAGATAAAAAAAAAAAAGAGGAAAAAGAGGATGAACCAGAAATGGTTGAGTCATGTTCATACTTCTACAGCTTTGATGACTAGAAAATGCAATATCAGATCACCAGATATTATCTAAAACCTAACCAAACAACACTTGACTATTTTTCTTCTCCTAATAAGAATTAGGCGTTTGTGTCTATTTCTGTACTGCTGATCTTTGTTCTAATGGTGGTATCCACTCTTGCAATTTTGCCTTATGTGGAGTTTATAATAATGGAATAGTTGGAGGACTGAATATAAATTGAGCTAAACTTGTACCTAGTGTAAAGCACAATGAATCCTGAGTTGGAATTTTTTTAGGAAATTGAATTAAGGAAAATTAGTAAATTAGTTCATGCAAAGAGCATACACTGGCAATATGGAAAATCTGTAAAGCCAGGCCTTTCCTAGTTGATTCTGATTAAAGCAAAGTTGGTAAATTAAAAACTTATTGTATTTGCAAGCGTGATTAATTGGTCGGCCTTTTTGTTACATGTAAATGAACATGAATGAATATGCGATCACAGCTTAGTGGATGCACTGAGAAGGAATATTGCCTTTTTTTATTTAGTCCCTCTTCTCAAGCTGGGGCAGTGAGTGTATTGACTGACAGCTCGCAGGCTTTGACCTTCTGCAGTTGTGGCAAGTGGGTCAAAGACATGTTCTGGCTAAACTGCTTGGCATGCTGCTTTTCTTACTGCGGGCAGTTTGTGTATCCTCTTCTGTAATAGTCTGCTGGAAATCCCATTTGCAGTAGACAGTAACTAATTGAAAAAACCCCACAACCAAATAGATGAAATTGTAGCTACCTTGTCTGAAAGATTTTTTTAATGTTTTACCATTTTTATATTATGCTAATGATACAAAGGGTAGTCTATGGTAGAGTTATGTGTTAACAGATACTTTGCACTCAGTGACAAAATATTCTTTCTTAAGTCTTCCACTTAAAATAGACTGAGCTGTTTGTAAGTATGTTGCTACTGGACATTTTTAAAACAACTGTTAATACTGTATATGCTCTTTCAGTATAATCTCTATATCAACCTTGGGACGGTTAACTGCTCTCCCCCACCCCTTCAGCTCGTATGGCCTTGCTTGTCTTGACCTCCAGGGCTACTAATATGCCCAAAGTAACTGCTTTGGTGGGGTTCTCCTCTTGTGGTGAATCGTACATGTCTGCATGTCAAAGTCTTGAAGGGGGTGGAAATGCCTAATTCTGAGGCTCAGACTTTCCATGAGCCCCTGTGTATGGTTTCAGCGCTGCCTTAGCTCCAGGCAGTCCCACATCCCAGGGCGCATTTCACTCCAGATCTAGCATTGCAAAAGCAGTGTCGGAGGTCAATCATGTTGTTTCTGCAGAGAACCTTTTTTTTTTATGGTTTGAAATGTGTGACAATCAAATAGCTTGTCCCAGGGATGTCTGTTAGGGGCCTGTCTGCTCTCAGGAGACACTAGGGTGGCGAAGTGTGGAAACCAGATGACTACAGGCTATTGTGAGAACAAAAGATCTGACATTCTAGTTGAGAGGCACTGAGTATTTGACATCTTTCCTACTCTCCCCTGCCTCCCTTTCCTAATTAACATTCCTAAATATTCAGGAACCCATTCTGCTGCTAATTGGCCCAAAACTTGGGTAATACTGTACGTTTTTGACTTAAGATGTGCTTCTTTTTAAGTTAATCTTTCATTATCCTATATGCATTTATTGATTGTTTCATGCATACGTGTGTATAAGATTTTTTAAAAACCTATCTTATATTCCATTTTAGTTTATCATGCAGTAAAGAATACCTACATTTGTTTTACAGGAGGACTAGCTTATCCCAGATAACTGCCCAACCTTTTACCTTTGTGACTTTCAGATAATGTAATTTTTCAAAAGTTTCTTTAATGGGTATTAAAAGAATTCTGTCACTGCATTAAGGAGCACTAAGAAAGTATAAATTGCTGGGGGAACATCAGTGTAGTTCTGCAGGCATTTGTCATGGGTCCTGCTTTGTTTTAGTCTTTTAAAAAATGATTTTCAAGCAACAAAAAAAAAGCATGGCACAAAAGAAGGATTGGAGTATTGTATAAGAACTGAATGACTGGATACCACAGTGTTAGAAGTAATATGTTTTATGTGTTAATGCAGAACTACAGATAGCTAATGTGTCTGTGAAAGGGCCAAATGTGATTTGAAATTGCATCAGAGGGGTATCTAAAAGCAATAAGTATTAGAATGGTTAAGAAAGATACTGGTGAAACCTCAAGCAATGGTTGGGAATGATTTTGTGTCTCTGGTCTGAAGGTGAATTCAAACTGAAGCAGGTGCAGAGAAGAGCTACAATGGATAGTCTTTTGGACTTTATCTTGCCTTTGGATAATACAGTTTCTCTCAATTTAGGAGGTAAAAAGTAGTGTGGGAAATGCTATTTATACTAAAGAGCAGTATTGGTGTGAAACCATTAAGTATAAACAGATTATGAATTCAAATTAAAAACTAGAGAAAGATTTTTAAAGGTCAAAGGAACGATTTTTAAAAATAGTCTTCAAGAAAGAACAGTAGAAGCAAAAGCCGTACTTACATTTAAGGCTAGTTTTGAATGTTGACATTGTCTCTAGCAAAGAAGCACTGAGGTGATGATCCAGTGAGTCTGTTGTTAAAGCCACAACTTTGTACATCCCTAACTTTAATACAGAAATTAGAAAAGCAGCTTTGATTTGGTATGTGTTATACTAAAATAACTTCTACTGTGCAAGGTGCTGATAAAGATTAGAGTAAATAAGGTTTTTGGGAAAGTGATTTTTGAAAATAATAACTGCTATTACCTCATTGCACTTACTTAGAACATGTCTTCAGTCTACAAGAGTGTTCCTTGGATGAATAAGTTTGAATTATAAAGCAAAGTTAATAAAAAGCATAAGTAAGCTAAACAAACAGATGGAAGCTAAAAATTGTAACTGTGAATGGGATTAAGGCAGAGTTTTATTTACATTGTAGTTTGATTTGGGTTTAAGACACTTAAATAGATGTGGTGTTTCATGTAGGGCCAGTTTGGCTGCAGTCTGGTTTAGTTTAAAAAGGGTGTGATCCAGAGCTTTATGAAGTGCCTCACCCAGCTGTTCAAATATTTTGTTTTACTTTATGATTTATAGTAAAATGTGTAGGATTATAATGAAACTTTTCTGGCAATATGTACAATAATGCTATGGAAATAAAATATTGACTTAATAAACAAAAGAACATTGAAGTTCAACAAAAGTCCAAACAGAAAGCTGCAAACCTTTTGGGAAGAGTTAACTAGGATAATAGATAATAGCCATTACCCCTTGATAGCACAAGGGGTAAAGGTTTTAAGCTGAAAGGGGGTAGACTCAGACTAGATATAAGGAAGAAATTTTTCACTGTGAGGTTGATGAGGTACTGGCACAGGTTGCCCAGAGAAGCTGTGGGTGCCCCATCCCTGGAGGTGTTCAAGGCCAGGCTGGATGAGGCTTTGAGCAACCTGGGCTAGTGGGAGGTGTCCCTGCCCATGGCAGGGGGGTTGGAACTCGATAATCTTTAAGGTCCCTTCCAACCCAAACCATTCTATGATTCTATAACTAGCTGTGTTAGTAAAAATAGCAAATGCTAATGTGTTCAATTATTCTACCTCTAGGAACCAGATGTCCTACTGATTTTGCTGAAGTTCCCTCAATTCTGATGGAGTACTTTGCAAATGACTATCGAGTGGTTAACCAGTTTGCAAGGCATTATAAAACGGGACAGGTAGGGAAAATTAATATGTAAAATATTAAAAATAGGAATAAATGTATTCAGGTAAAGAATCACATTTTCATATGTTATTTGTTAATAATATTTAAAGTAGAAATAAACAATGGATAGAAATTATTTTAATATTATAATTTCAGTTATTTAGAAAAAATGTTAATATTCACATTGCAGAAAAGATAAATGTAATCTGTAAAAGAATACCAAATCTGTATATCCAGGGTTCCAATTACATGTTTAAAACTTTCAACCTTTTTTTCTTGCAAAGGTTATGTAGTTTCTACATTACACAAACTTAGTGTAGCAGGTGAACAACTTCTGTGTGAAGCCAGTTATGTGGAATGTTTTAATTTAATTACCAGTAAATTATGACAAAAACTAGTGATTCATCACTGAACAGTCTAAAGTCCATCTTAAAATAAAATGTTGGTACCAAATAATGGAAATAAATGGAAATGATCTGCAGTGTTGAAAAACTCCCATTTTTAGCATGGTGTAGGGTAGCCATTGCAGTATTTTGTGATGAAAAGTGTACTGCTTTATTTAAGATTAGATTAGCATTAGTTAGATTCTGGCAGCTATGAATCTCTGCATCAAAACTCTGATCTCTTTTTTACGTAAAGCTATTCTGTGCCAGTGTACTGCAAGGATCTACTTTCTTTGGGAAATTTGGAAAACAGTGCTCTTTGGAACAAGGTGTTTTTTGGTGGTCACTTTAACACACGTCAAAAGAATATGATTTATATTTGTACATCCATTTCAAAAATACAAACCAGTAAACAATAACCAGAGGTCTTTTTCTAGTGCTTTTGATTGAGGCAAGATTCAGTGTACTCAAATGTGATGGTTGAAGAATAGTCTCCCCACCAATGCAAAACCAAGAAAGACTCTTAAGTTGTGTGGTGTTACATTTCATTGAAGCTTTTTGTCCAATACTAAGTATTCAGTATATTTCAGTATTATGAAAGTGGAATTATGTTTGCCTCCACTGAACAGTTGGAAAAGTATGTTGCATAACTTCTATTTTAATTGATACTGTCTGAGAAATTTGCTCTGTAAATATGCCTTTTTTTTTTTTTTTTTTACAGAGCAATCATTTCTGCAGAATTGATCGCACTAAGAAAGTCTCCTTGAAACCTGGGAGTTAAAAGTACTCAGTTCAGGAGTGTTCTTCATTTATATGTTTAAGTCCACAAAAGAAATACTGCTTTCTAGTGTTCTCTGTAAAGTTCATGTAGTGTTTAAACATTGTGGAGTTAATCTGATTGCATATGAGTTCAGAGAATGAGCTTGACTAAAACATCTGAAAGAGATTTGTGGAACATTATTTATGGCTTTGTATTATCAAAATGGCTTAACAAATCTAAACGATGTTTAGTTGCAGTCCAAAAGCAAAGAACCAGACGCTGTGTCTCATTCGGCATTTCCATAAACTTCTGTTTATTGGTGGTGAAATCTTGCCCTTTCGGAGAGCAATTGCAGAAATTCAGTCTTGAAGGGGACAAGAATGGATTTTGCTGACAGAAGAGAAAAAAGAGCCTGAAGCTGATGTGTGTGGCTTTTGAGGGCTTTAGATGGCTTTCTTTTAATTGCTTTTTTTAGAATTTAGAATGTATTTTTAAGCCATTATCCAACATATATAAATCCACTTTTGCTTATGTTGATTAATCTAAGCTAGTTTTAAGAATCTGATATCAGATTTCTGTATCTGTCATTTAAATACAAATAGATGGAAGTAATCTTTTCTGTTCTTGTGTGGGTGTCCCTGCCCATGGCAGAGGGGGTTGGAACTTGATGATCTTTAAGGTCCTTTCCAACCCAAACCATTCTATGATTCTTGAAATTTAGTGATTGTTAGAGCAATTACTTTTGTCTCTTGTGTATATGTTACAAAGTACTTTGAATAGAAAATCCTAGCTCTCTTACATTTACAACTTCACAGAAATCATTTGGGGCTTATATCTTCTGTGCTTGTTCCCTGAATAATTTTTCTGGTGTGCAAATAGAAATTTGAATCAACATTTTTTTCTCCAGCTTTTCAGTTATTTGAAAGAAAAATGAGTCCACTTTACCCCCTTTTCAAGGGGAAGTAAGGAAGATGGGTGAAACAGTTAAAATGTAAAACTTGTAAGTCCGTTTCATCCAAATGTTTTTCCATGTGATAACTTCCATTAAGTTTCTTCTTATGAATAAAAAGAGAACTTTTCTGTGCAAGAAGGATCTTTCCTGCAACAACTAAGCCAACATAGTTGTGCTGGATGTTGACAGAAGGAGGGCTTTTTACTGACCTATCTTATTGAGGAGGCAGTGCAGACAATTTCAGAAAGCGTGCTTCTTTTGGCATTGCTGCATCTATGCCATAATTTTTGCATGTAAGTTTTAGGTGCTGTCACTTTTAACACTTCTACTGAACATAATTATGTCAGAAAAACTTGGTAGCATAGTCTCAGTTTATGTTTGCCCTTGCCTAAAAGCCAGTTGTAGAAGGACTGATCCTGAGGATCCTCACTTAGGATCAGTGTTTATGCTTGTGGGAAGGGAAGGGGAAAGACGTGTTGTTTTGATTATTAAAACATATGAACTCTTAAAAACTGTTTTTTAGTAGCATTGCAGAAAAAAGATTTGGTGAGCAGGCTTTCAAAGATTAGAATGCAGTATGCATATAGATGTGGATCGTGAGGATCTGGTCCAAAATATCTTGAAGTTTATAGAAAGCTTGTTTCTGCTCTCTGTGCATTTTGGATGGTTGTGCTGTTGAGTACTGAGGAGTGAAAAAGCTTGCAAGCTCTTCTGGCAAAAGGAACAAGTCTTGTGAGTTTGGTTCAAAAAGCTGGACAGACAAAAATATTTGTTCCAAGAAAGTAGTAAGCGTAGTTTCCCTGTCATCTTAAAGATAACTCAAAACAGAAGATCCTTGAGGAAAGAAAAAGGAATAGAGAGGACTGTGTTAGTCAATTACTGAAGCTGAATTACTCAGGTCAGCTCATGAAGTCAAGCTGTACCAAAATGAGGCTGTAACAGTGCTTAAGCAGACAATCTGGTGCATGCATATAATTCTGTGTCCCTATGTTTGTTTGTTTAATTTCATTTGTTAAGTGCACAGATATGTGGTAGGTCTTTCGAGCTAAATCATTTTAAGCTTGTATGTCTTTGGAGGCTCTCTTGAACAAAGGCCAGTATTTCAGCTGTTAAAATTTGAACTGACTTCATTTTTCACAGAGATGGAATTACAAAGACAGTATTGTATTAGCATGATTACAAGAATAAGCCCACAGATAATAAACAGTTGTAATGTGTCACAGTTACTACACAGCAGTAAGGAGTTAAGTGTTATTTGGGACATGGGGAATTCTGTTCTTTTAGCCACCATGGAAGACATGCTGAAAAATTCATGCCAAGATCTTAAAGATACTTAATACAGAAGGATGGAAAAGTGGAACCTAAGGTAAAGCACGTAGTGTTTAAATTTAAAAAATTGAATGGTTATTCAATTAACATAGTTTTAGCCAAAGCCTTTCTTTTAGAAGGAGGATGACAGTTTGATTCTGGTTTCATCAGAGAGTTCATCTTTCAGGATAAGTAAAGTAGTCATGCTGATGCATTTTTTCTTCATTCAGCTGCTTATTAAGGGGCTGTATGAGATTGTAATGGAGCAAGGAGAAATAGTTTCTATTGTCTGAAACAGTACATCTTCCTCAATACATTCAAGACCTCAGCATATCTGTATACTTGACATTCACAGAAACAAATCCTCTGGAGTCTAATTTTAGTTCCCTCAAATCTTAAATTTCAAAATCCCGGAGGTGCTTTGGAAAAAATAAGTTATCTCCTTTTTATAATTCTTTCAGTTTAATCTGATTTTGGCAATGTTTTTCTGGTGCCAAATTCTGCTTGGCTTCTGAATCATGATCACAACACAATCTGTTGAGCCAGATCAGTAGCAGAGGGAGTTTTAAACAAAAAAAAATGTATGTCTTTCTCCTGTGCCTTTTTGTCAATAGGTATTGTCATAAGAATGATTTGTAATTTCCTGTTGATTTTAATCTGCTGAAACAGTAGAGCCTGATCTTCAGGGCAGAGTAGATCTATATTTTTTGTTTGATATTCATATGACTGCAAAAAAAAAGATTTTCTTGGAGGCTATTGGTGTTACCTACATTTTATTTGGTCTCTGGAAAGTGGTGCTAAGCCGTTTCCTGTGGAAAGAGATTTTAGTACCTTGTTACTGATCATTCTGTGTATCCCCTTAGGAGTTCAGTTTAGAATAGGCTAGGTGCTTGTAGCAGAAAATAAGGAAGAAACAGGTGAAGGCAGAGGCTGCCTTTTCCGCAGTCTTCTCTGGCTTGAGATCAGCTGTTTGCAGTACAGTCCAAAGAAGGCAAGACTCTTTTGGGTGGAGAGTCTGTAAGAAATGCTTAGCTCTGAACTGAAAATCAGACCTGCTTCAGTTGTTTCTTGAGCAGGGCTGAATGTGACCAGCTCTCCTTTGGAGCATATAAAGTCTGTCTTTGTCACCGAGCCTTGTTGTTCCATGCCCCAGTGAACTGCAAACTTGGATTTCCCAATTCTGTTGAGGATCTGTGGGACTGTGGCTTACCAAAATGCCAGTTAGAAAAGTCTTAGTGCCTTTTGTTCTATTTATTTTGTATGCCAGCTGAAAGCCTGTGTGCTTAACTTCCTCTTGCCATAATTTAATATAGCTGAAATATAAAATTGAAAATCCGTTATGTTGAAAGAGCTGGTTTGACCTTATTCGTAGGAGTGCTCTTGGCTTTAACACTCTTAAAATATAACTGTGTGAAATATACATGTTTGCTGTTTCCAAGCTTTTCGGTGTTCAGCTTTTTTAACACTAACAAATTACAATTTAGGAATTCCCGTCTAGTTTTCTCATACTTTGCTGTATCCGAAATACAAGTGCCCCTAGAAGAAATGAGTTTTGTTAATTCCATACTGCACTACTTCACTAGGAAATGAAAGTGTCCAAAAAGCTGCCAAAACTTGCTAATAGGTTTGGTGCTTAATAATAAAATCTGTTCAAAATTCTGTTGGTTTCCTTACACAAGGGTTTCTTGCATGACAGCTGAAACTGTGTTGTTGCAAACCCACATGTGCTTTAGTTCTGGGATGAAAAGTTACTGAAGTGCATGGCTCAGCCTCTGTAAGAGGATGAGACAAGAAGTTCAAAGAGCAAGGAGAAAAATTGTCCAACCAAAATACTTCTTACCATTTGTAATTTTTGTCTACTGTGCTTCTTGCCTTAATAACTTTTCTACATAAATAAGTAGTATTTTGAACAATACTAAATCCACTATGGAACCTCAAGGTTGTCGCTACTAACATCACTGTTACTATGGCTGACTTCCCATCTACTCTTACTTTTGCAGTCCGAAATCATAATGTAGTTTGAAATAGAATTTTTCTATTTAGGAAGGGTAAACACTGGCCTAACAAGGATATACTGTAGGATAGACTTCATGTTCATTGGTTCATTTTTCTGTGTTGAAATGTAACAGCTGTGCACATTTATGACTGGCAAAATAGTGGGTGTTGTTCTGTCCCATTCTTGACCCAGCTAACATTTGTCTTGGAGAAGAGGTTACAAGCCTTGGCAAGCTACTGCATAAAATAGCTGTGCAACTTGAGAGTTTTTCTTATCTGCTTTAGCTTCCAGATTCTACAGAGTTAATTGATAACATTTTCCTCACGTGTAACTCCTGTGGAGTTGGGTTTTTATTCTGTGAACATTAACATTGTTTGTCTTGAAGTCATATCATTTGCACAGAATCTGAACGTATGGCTCTGCCATCAGGATGTGTAGACTTTCATGTATTATTTCTTAAACACTTCAGCACACTGTGTAAGTGTAGGTATGCTTTTAGAGTTCAGTGTAATACCAAACATCTGTGTTACATTGTACAACTTGTAGTAACTTTCTTAATATTTTAGCAAGAACCCATTTATTTTAACCATATTTGATATGTTTGGTTAATAAAACTACAAGTAAAAAAAATGCTTGCTAGCAAAAACATCTGTTGAAAAGTTTCAGGAAGCAACAGCAGAAGTGAGGTCAAGCATTCATATACAGATATTCTTGAAAATCTGGCATTGGAAAGTCTTTGGATGTACTTGTAGATGTCGGATGGAAAGTCAAAAAGAGTTTTCTTAATGACTTGAAAAATGTCTCTGACTCTCAGCCTGTGGTGGCATGGATAATTTTATTGCAATAGATGTAGAATAAATATTAAACATTTCAAAGGTTAGATAGCTACTGTTCAGTATGATGAAACATTTTTCTATGGGTTAGGGTAGAACCCTAGTGTGGGAACCTTTTTAGAAGAAAATCCTCATGCAGTTGATTTGTACTAAAGGAGAAAAAACATCAGCAAGGAATGAGAATGTAGGCAATTATGCAGAATGTGAGTGAGATAAGGAGGAACTGAAGGCAAATAATCAGCATGACTAAGTAATTTTAAGGGTCCCATTCCCAGGACTAAAGCAAGCCAATAGTAACTTTGTTGTTAGGAATTTAGAATAATTGTACCCAATTAGTAGCTGCCAAATCTGCAAGAGCTCTGTATAAAAGTGTGTAATCAAGGCATAATAAATGGCTACAGCATGATCATATTGGTCAGCATCTGAGTCCTTACCAGCAGCAGAAGCCTGATGTTGTCCCAGTTGAAGTTAAGAAAACTGCACCGGCTCTATTGGAGTTATGTGGGCCTCTGTGTAAGTCTAATGAACTATGCTTAAAGACCAACGGGAGAATCTGTTATAATATCCGCTTTTGAAGATGAGTCAGGGTGACCTGGGAGGACTTTAACTGCCCCATCTGTTCTTTATCTCTAAAGATAGTCATAATATTTTTAACAGGCATATTAGGGAACATAGGATCAATTTATAGAAGAACAAACACTGAGACACAGTGATTTCTAGATTGCTATGTAAATTATTGACAATATCTTAATTGCCCATATATTCAATGCTTTGTTTAGCAAATGAGATTTTCTTCCTCAATGCAAAGGACTTCAACTATGTTTTTATTACCACCAACATCTTCAGCCTTTTTTAGTAGTAAACATACTATTTACAAACATACAAGAATTCTAAATATATTCTGGCTTTTTTTTTTCAAGCCACTACCGAAAAACATGGTGACAAGGCTATGTGACTCCAAAAAGGTGTGTGCTGCAGCTGATATGCAACTCCAGGTATGTTCTTTGCATTACCGTGTCTACTGTCTATCCAGAACTTACAGAACATATTTTAATTCTTATAATTTCACTAAATTTCAATATAGACACATTATTTAATTATATGCAAATTAGTGAAAATTAATTCATTTTGATATTGATTTTCCTGTTCGTTTTTGTGAACATATTCTGTGCTATTGGCTTGAAGTTAAATGTCTAAATCTGTAGGAAAATATTGTGAAAACTACAGCTTTTGAAAATGGTTGGGTTGTAAGAATTCCCAAATGTGGTTTAAGGTTGAGTTCTTAAATTAACAGAATCATTTAAGGAGAACTTGCAGTAGAGGAAGTATTGCTTTCCTTTGGATGGTTAAAGTGTAGCAGGACTGAGAGATACAGACAACCTTAGAAAAATCAAACTGACTTGTTTATTGACTAGAGTGTGATTTGAGCTCCTTGTCTTCTGTATCTCCAGTATGGAAGTACCAACTTGTTACTGCTATCAAAATTGGTGGCTGAACCAATAAGGCTGTAAGACTTTTCTCTCACAGTGTTAGGAGCAGCACTTAAATTCGTAAACTTTTTATTTTCTGTGGGTAGATGTCATTGATCAGTCATTCTCATAAACAAACTGTCAGTGTTGCTTTTCTTCAAAGGAAGTGTAAGGAAATCAAGGTTCTATCTAAAATGTGTTTTTAGGTTTTTTCAATCCTGCAACAGCAGTTCTCAGATATGAACAGCAGCATTAGGATCCAGCCAAGTTTTTTTACAGTGAGAGGTTGGCTGCATTTAGTATGATTTTTGTGATTTAGTTTTCTTCTTTGTTTTGCCTTAAGCCAGAGCACATAATTTTTGTTTTTACAGTTGACCTAGTGTTTAGGTGAGATAACTCTGCTAGTACCTTAATAAAGGGTAGTCATCATTTTTGAGATGTGGAAAGAAACAAATCTAAAGATCAGATCTTTGTAATTCATCACTTTGAAGTGCCCAAATGATTGCAACCCTGTCGACAAACATGAGTTACACTGGTTAATTGAAGTTGATTTAAAATAAAAACTTACTGAGTATTTACAGTTTGCTGTGTGCAGTTATTTGTAGTGATTTAAAAGTAATCAGAATACAGGAGTGTGGACCTGTAAATGTGTGTCAGTTACACAAATCAAAACCAGATTTAACACTGTTTTCAGTGTATACAAATATTTTTCATTGGTTAAACTTAATGGATTTTTGAATTATGCTTTCAGTGCTAGCTGTTAGTGGCCAGTGCTGGCTGTGCAGCTGTGAACAAGGAGGCTACTACTTCTGGCTATACCTCTCTGACATGAAAATAACTGCACCCTCTCTGCAGGTCTGATTTTGAAATGCACACTCCTGTCTCTGAAAGGTTCTCATCTAGAGATAGGTGAGAATCCAGAAAGAACGTGGGCAAGAATATAATTAATTCACATAGGGTGTTTTTTTGGCAAAAACCAATTCTGGATTGTAATAAAATTTATGCTGAGAATGCTTAGGTGTGGACCTCCATTTGTGAAGTCCACCAACGCAGAGTGATTTGCCAATGTACAGACTGATAACCACAAATGTGATGATCAAGTGCTTTCACATGCACCCTGTTCTTTTCTGGTGTGTCCAAAGCAACTATATATAGATCAGTTTTCCTTTCAACTTCTAATATGTATTAGCTATAATCTTGTCAAGGTTTGAGACCAAATTGACAGTGGGGGGGCTAAATGGGCTTGGATGCCAAGAACACTTTTAAGTCACTGATATATTAACAAGTGATATGGTCTCCTTGTCCTGTTGTGGGGGAGACGGTGTGCTCCAGAAGTAAGTCAAGGAGGGGTCATTGCATCAGTCCCATGAGGTGGGCTGTGCAATCCCCCCTGCTACCGTTGGCCCTCAGCTGCTCTGGAGTCTCTGTAGGGTCTGTCCCGAAGTGGCTCCAGACCCCATAGCTTTAGAACTGGGGAGAGAACACCCACTTCTGGTGGGCTCAGATTCCTTCAGGTGACTGATGATTGACTGGTGCTGGCAATGATGCAGTAATTAAGCAGGCAAGATTCCAAATGTAGTACCTGCAGAAGTATGGACTCATTTCAAAGAGACAGACTGGCAGAGCCTTTATGTATATTAATTCAGAAAAAATGTCCCAGAGAAGTTGATTGCAGGGCAAATATAGTGTTCATACATTCATTTGTAGAAGGGTGTGTTGTTACTCATGCGGAATTAAAAGTATAGTAATTCATTGAAGAAAAACACGTACCTTCAGTCTTCAGATGCGAAAGTATATATATACTACTAATGTATATACCAGAAAAAAACTGTGAATGATCATTCTAATACGTTTCCGTCAGACTTTGCTTAGAGTACATTCTATACTGATGACTAGATGCTATGTAAGCTGTATTTGACCTTTAAAAGAAAGAAAAATATTTACAAATTTTCCAGCAGTGGGGAAAATGCCTAAAGGTTCTTTTGTGTTTTACTGAAATTAGAAATAATCTAGCTACTGCTTAATATTAAGTGTTAGCATGCTCCTCAGCAGTATCATCTAAAATCCTGTGGTCCTGGGATGTGTCTCCCTTTCCTATTTCAAAGGTCTATGTAAACACACAGAACTGTGGTTTGTAGATGGGAGTGCTTGTGGCTGTAAAGTTCATCCAAGTTAATTTCAGGGAATTTTTTTTTTTTTTTAACTATGCTGTCCAGGTGGCCTGACTCAGAGCTTTCTTCCCACACTTTACATGTGCCAGGATCAGGCGAAAGCTTAGAGCTGGCTTCGGTGACTCATTTCCCTATCACCACATTGTTCTTTAGTCAGTCCATTTCACTGAGCTTCAGCTCTGATTTCACCATTGTCTGGCTGTGAGTTGAGCTTTTTTGCTCCAGCTCCCTGACCACAAACTACTTGACTCCAAATTTTACTTTAGAGAAGGTCCACTGCAGAGCAGTTTGCTCTGTCTTGTGAGGAACGCTGAAGAGCAACTGCAAACAGGTCCTAACAGAGCTGGGAGATAGAAAAAAAGAGGATCAAGGCTGGGCTGATGCAGGATGCCAGAGTCTGCGATCAGATGCAGAAATTCCTGATGTTTGGCTTGGGTTTTTGGAAAGGAGAGGGAAAGTGGTGTGAAGTGACTCCTGCAGAGTCACAAAGGCCTAGGGTGGCAAGAGAAAGTGAGTTTTCTAGGACTAATATCCTCTCAACAGATACTCTGTGTTTGTAGATGGGCAATATTAAGTGCTGGCATCTCTGGAGCAGTGTCAGTATCTAGGACACAAAACTTGCAAAGTCATTAATGGCTGATCCTGCAAGTGTAGGTCTTATTGACTGACCTCTTCTCATTAGCCATGTAGGAAGCAAGCAGGAAATTCAGGAGTAGCTTCTGCGAGTCATGGCTTCTTCACCCCTCTCCTTATAACCCTCAGTTTTTGTTGAAAAAAATCAGTTGTCCCATTTGTCATTTGAAAACACTGTCAAAGGATTTATCAAGATTCTGTATGTTAAGACAGCTTATTTGAACAGAAGGAATATGGTCCTTTAGAAACAGTGACATTTTTGGTGTATGTGTTGTATCCTGCCCCCCTCTAACGCTGAATTCTAATAATTAAAGAGTTCATAATGTTTCTGTACCCAAATTTTATAATAAAGAATATTTTCACAGGTTGAGGGGGTTGTGTTTTTCAGATCACATAACGCATCCATTCTTCATGGATGGAGAATGCCTCCAAACAGCCTTTTCTCCATAAGATTTCTGCATGTTGTTGTTATAATTCCTAAAACAGTGTGTTTATCTTATTGGGGATAGTATTGCAGTATCCCTTGGAGTGTGACTGGGCCCAATCTCTGGCCAAATTATTTCCTTCATCCCTTTCCCAAAAGTTTATTGAGGCTCCCTACCGTCAAGTTTCCTATGAAGTGTGCATACCACAGAATGGCTTGACCTGAACTCTTTGGCTTAAATATTTGGATGCAGCAAACTTCTCAAAAAATTGTTGTGTTGCACAGCAATGGGTGTCCTCTTCTTCTGTCTTTCCTGCACTTCCACAGAATAGGAAATCTTCATATTAAAAAGAAATATAGAAATGCTGCCTTTTTTTTTTCCCTGACACAGTCTTCAATCCATGCTTATTTGAAGTTTGCTGATAAAGTGCCAGATACTCTGCTTTGCTATCTTTGTCTGAAAAGATTTTTTTGTTGATGCTGCTTTCCTGATATCCAAATACCTCCGTGATGTAGTCATGTGTCTGTGTTCTGCCGTAGTTCGTGTGCTTCTGCACAAACGTTGCCTCTGAACCAGCTCTTACATCTGTGGTAAAGCACCCTCCTAGTGCAGTGTGTTCTCAGACTACACTTAACCTGTGGCAATTTATTGCTCTTACTGTGAGGGCTAAAACAAAGGAAACATCTGCCTTAGTCCTACAGCGCTTGAGTGGTCTAGCAGAAACTCAGGGGCATCAGCAGCTCCGTGTGCAGCTTATGTTCACTGCCTGGGCTGTGACTTGCCCCTGCAGGTGTAATGTGTTCTTATGGCTGCACACAGACATCTTGGAATAGCTTCTTTTGCTGTGTCCACTCAAATAATAGTAAGTCTTTTTATTAAATCTATTTTTAAAAAATGTTTTCAAAAAGGGGAATTGTTGGAGGGCTTTAGGCTCAAGTTTTAATGTTATTTAAAAGTGCAGGTGATTTATTAGTACTGCCAGTGTTCTCAGTGACCTAAACATGGATTTGTCATAGGTCATGATGGTGGTGGTTGGTGTACTCCAAAAACCCGTTTCTTTCCTTGTATGTTATACTAAAAATAGAAGATTTACAAAACCATATATATTTAAACTCTTCCCTCTCCCTGTTCTCACTCTTCCATTCTTTTCCATATGTCTTTTTTTTGTTGTCAAATGCTAATGCCATGTGCCAAAGACAAACGTGTTTTATCTCTCTTCAGGTATTTTATGCTGCCTTGGACCAAATCTACCATGGGAAACATCCTCTAAAAAAGTCAACCACAGAAATTTTAAAGGAAGTGCAGGAGAAAGTTTATGGATTGCCATATGTACCTAATACAGTGAGTAGAAACACACTGAGTGTATAAGCTACAAAGCTTTTCTTCGATGGCATATTAATACCCTTACCTCTCCCTACCCCTTGCCCTGCACACTCACATGCTTGTTGTTGTATTGTTATGTTGAAAGAGTTTTCTTTCTTTCAGCCACTTTATCTGGAGAATAGGGTGTTAGAAATTTTCAGCTAAAAATCAAAATATAATTAACGTGTCCCTTTTTGTACAGGTGTAGTCTTGTCACACTGAACTTAATTACTTTTTATTTTCTTATTGCGGAAGGCACTGGAAACAATACATTGGACAAAGGGTTTATTCTAGCTTTGCAAAGGATTGTTTGTAAAAGGCAACAAAGCAATTTGTTGCCTGTTGGTGTTTGTATACTGTCAGTGTCAGCATGTGAGAGCAAGTCAGTGTGAAGTAGGACTTGGAAGTGAGTTTTTCTCACTCTACTGCTGTGAACTTTGGCACATCAGTTATTTATCCTTTCATGTGGTATCTGAAAGTGTTAATGCCTTGATTCTACTGAGTTATGTAATTTTGATCTTCATCACGACTAATTGTGCATTTGTTCTGTGCTTTATGTGACATCCAAAGGTGCCGTTTGTGTAGATGATAGTCATGGGATTTCCTGGGCTGTCTGCAGCTCGATTCCCAGATGGAGCATGGCTTGAATCACTGTTTGACACTTTGGTTAGAACACCTAGATCCTTTCTCTGCTTTGAGCTTCTCAGGAAATGTACTTTCCTCCTTAGCAAAAGTGTGACTTTAATTCTCTGGGAAGCGTATTAGGGATCCATGCTTCAGCCCTTTCCTCGTTGAAATGGCACTGCCTCGGCTGGCCTGCCAGAGCCAGGGAAGTGGAAGCAAGATGTCTTCAGAGTACAATATCTGACTTCTTAGCTTTTTTATAAGTCTTGTTTTACACTGTTCCTCTGCAGGTGTTAGTTATCCAGTGAACAGAACAGTTCCCTGCTTTGAAAGTTAGGCTGCGTTTTTTCTTCCATTTAAAATATTTTTTGCTTTTTTTTGCTGTTACCTTCAAAGAGTGTAACATCTTGTAATGAGCATAGTCTCAATATTGAGAGAGACAGCAAGTTTTGACCTGGAATTTTATCCTTGCAAAATGTACTGTGAACTTCTGAATTGTCAGAAAGTGTATGTTCTTTACATTTATTGAATGTAGAATTAGTGTGTCTAGTCAAGAATTGTAGTACAATTCAAATTTCAGGCTTGCTGTCCTTTGCTGCTTTTTCTGATCTTAAGATATGTTTTCAGTTTATTTTGTAGCCTGGTTAAAAAAAATAAATGTCTTGGATGTTGTTGGATTTTTTTTTAAGTGAAGAGAGTATATTCCTTCCTTTAGTTTAATTTCAGAGCTAGGCATTGAAATATAGTAAGAGAGACTGGCTTTTATTTTCATCTATCATTTGGCTAGATACATATACAGCTGGCAGAGAAAGCAAAGTATTTTGATTATTTAAAATTTTATTTGCTCTCTGTAGGTTTAGATTCAATTATGAATTGCAAAGTCAGGCTTGTATGTCTTAAGTTAGTGGTGTTGAGTAAAAGTAATTCTTCCTTAGTGAAGATCTTAACTGCATTAATGTGTTTTTCTGTAGTACCATTCATTGTCTGTTCGGGCTGAACAACCATCCATTATTATCTCTTCCTGATAAACCGTAATTCTCTGTTACTGCTCTTGACACATGACACGTAAGCTTAGTAAATGTCCTCTGAATGTACTTGGACTTCAGTCTCATTGTGCAGACTCATTTTCTGAAGTAGAGCCACAGCAGATATCTTCAGCAGGTGAACTTCTGTCCTTCTGAGGCACAACTCAGATAACAGGACAATTTGTATGCATCTTTTTGTTACAGTACTTTCAAAATGAGGCATGTAAACCACACCTGTTAAGTAAATGCTGCTGTACCTATGTGGTGATACCTATTTTAAGGTAAAAAGCATCATCCTCAGCAAATGTTGTGTCTTATGTGCCAACAGTAGGAGGGAAAGTGGGAAGAAAATCGTGCCAAAGTTTGTATTTGCTATTCAAATAGATTTTATGGGCATTGGGGCTGTTGGTACTGCATGCAGTAGTATTTACGTTGGCTGCGGTGACACAGGCAGTCACAGAAGCTAGTGCCACATGCAAGGCAGAAGGGAGGAATGGAGCAGACAGTAGACAGACGGAAGCACAGAGAAACAGAACTCCACGAGACTTTGTTTTTCTGAAGAATGCAAATCTCAGTTTCTGGCTGGCTATTGCTTATCTGTTCAAAAGTACACAGGGTTTGTTGCTGGCTCCTGGAGGATGAAATTCCACTGGGATTTCTTTGGTCTGTTACTGAATCCAGAAGCTGATGACTGCCAGGCAGGGGGCAAGGAAATGTATCTGCAAGTTTTTGTAGTGTCTGGTGGTTTTGTTGCCAGAGGAGATTTGTGTTACTGAGTTTGGAAAATAAATAGAAATTTTGAGCAGGCTGGATTCTTGAGTCCTTGTGAAGCATTTAAAAAGCAATCAGTCTTCCTTTGACTCTTCTAAGAAAGCAAGATAAACCAAATAATAATGACCACACATTTTCCTGACATTTCGTACTGAATGTGCTTGCTGTCGAAATCTGTGCACTGTGGGGAGTTCAGTACTCTGCTTTTGTTTCAAACTTTATTTCAAATCATAGCTTATTTCTCAATTCTTGTGAAGCCAGTTTCCATTTACTGTGGCCTGCTTTGCAATTGATAACGCCTCTGCTTTTAGAATATCTCCTCTGGTCTCTTCTACCTTTGTCTCCAGGGTGCCCAGAGAGACTTCTTCATAAGTGTCAGGTGACCCTTTGATCAACCTGAGACATGATCAAAGTTTCTCCCTGTGGTCTGTTGCTTAGTCTCCTGCTGTCCCCCAAGTTCAAACTTGAAAACTGCTTTCCTTTGAGACTGTCATCAAAACTTAATGATATGCCATTGTTAGTCCTGCGCCAAGCATAAGAATTCCTGTCTCCTACTGTGGGTTTCAGTTCAATATCGTAACAAAAAATGAGACAGAGGGTAAACAGGCTCTGTAGTGATAGTGGAGATTGCAGCCTCCTGCAGTTACAGGAAAGAGCTCCCAATAATGAAGTGGTTTTACAATAAACACCAGCTACCCAAATCCATACCTGCATTTTCTTTGTGAAATACTGAATTAGTTTGAATTATTGATTTGTATTTTCAAAAAATTGTTATGGACTTACATACTAATTGTCTGTCTGTCTGTCTGTCACAGTAACCTTTCTACATTCTAATCTGGAAGTTTGATGGGAAATTCTGATTTGATTTGTGACTGTGAGGAAAAATGGTTTTGAAGAGTGAGGCACAGTGAATCTGGGTTCTTTTTTAGATTGCTGCCAAATAGTCCCTTTTGCATTTTTAAAAATTGCATGGCATTCTTGTAAGCTTTTCTTCCAGAAATAGACGAATTTCCTGTGTGGTACTTGAATACAAAGTGCAATGTTGGAATTAACCCACACATATCGTTATAATTACGTTTGATAGGAGGGAACATGTTGGTATGTAGGGAGCCTTTTGATACTTTTTGGAACACTAGATAATTTGCTATGTACCTTTTTGCTCTAGCATGTCAAGTACATATTAGTTCAAAAGGACCAGAGGTGCCCTAAAATTTACATCAGGTTACATCAGGTTAATTATGCTTATACGCTTTTGTCCAGAGTGCAGGTTTCTTTGGCAGTATGAGAACTTCTTAATGGCCTATGGTTGCTAGTGAAGGAGAGACCAAAACACCTGTGAGACTGAATATGTTAGCCAGCTAAGTTTGCCAACAGAAAACAAGGCAGGTATTGTTATAGATACCCCAGAGGGAAGAAGTGTATGAAAAATGGTGTATCACCAATGTGGTTGTTAGTCTTTCTTCTTCCTGCAGCTGGGGGAGCTCTGCCCAAACAGGGATCCTGACCTTGGAAGACGCCACTTAGGTCCTTGTCTTGACTTGCTGGGATTGTGTCTGTCATGTTCCTGACAAAAGAAATCAATGGATGAGATGGAACCTAGCATTTGGAGTGCTCGCTTGGGAAGGCTGTTGGGCACTACAGGAAGACGTGTCTTGCAATGGGTGCTGAGAACACAAGGATTTCATTAACAAGGCACATATAAAGGTATCTGGGAGGTTGATCAAATGAAGAGGAGTTGGTGTCACTAGACAAAGAGACCTAGCTTCTCTGCAGGGAGAAAATAGTTTCTGCATCACACATTGTCACTGTGTGCCCAAGCCCTGTTTTTATTTTGTTGAAAAACACCTGAGAGGAAAAGAGCAGCTGTATGCCTCTTTTTCCTTCTTAGGAGCCTTTTCTTAGGAGTTTGAAGGTGGCCTGACATCATGCCTAGTTGTGTTAAGTAAGCCAGAGGCCAAAAATGAAGACAGTGTAGTTTCTGAAGTTCTGTATTGCGGGTCTTGTACTGATCATGATTGCTCTCAGTAGTGGTGCCACAGCAAAGAGGAGAGTATTGTTTTTAACAGGTCTGTTTTTCAGCCTACTGAAGGCTGGCTGGCAGTTTTGAGTGAAGTAACTTGTTATTGAATCTGCCATCTGTATCATTGTGGCATCTGTTGTCTTAGGATTTCTTGTTAGGTCTTTGGAGTGACTACTAATGTGTAGTTACAACTCCAGTCCTGTATGACATTTTATGTGAATATCAGTAACACCATATAAAAAGAATAAATAGTCAGACTGGGCAAGTGATGAGGCAGCTGTCTTAAAATAAATAAGTGATAACCCCTAACCTCTGAAGATAAAAGTGGTTTTAAATTCTGAAAACTTTACTCAAGTGCTGAACGTAAATCTTGAAATTATTGGTAAGGAAGGCTAACTAGTGGCTACCTATTAAATTTTAAACTTGTGATTTCACTTCACACTTATTTTATGTAAAATCTTTCCAAATTTGTCTTAGATTTATTAAGTTAAACTAATGTAACCTTAAAACCTAAGCAAAACTGAAAGCTAGGTTAAAGG